CAAAATAAAATAAAATAAATTAAACTATTCAAACGTGAAGTGTTTGAAGTTTTGACGGTTACGGTAAAATAAAATAGATCGATAGCCTGTAAACAATGTGATCTCTTGTCATTTAATCAAATATTTATAAATATTATATACATTAAAACATTATATATAAGAAAATGTTAATGGTCGTCACATTTTAAATTGCATCATCGATATGAATTTAAAATAAATAATCAGCTGATATAATTTTTTTTATATACAAATATTTTTAAATACTAATTTTTAAAATCAATCAAATAATTAGTTTAATTACCTATTATAGGAAGCCAAATATTATTGTTGAATGTTGAACATAATAATACGTAAGGTATTTTAATATTTTAGACGAATGTTCTAACTTGAAACAATTAACAAAGTCACGAACACATTTCAAATTGTATACATTCTGATAACATTTTTGGTATTGAATATTTACTATTTAGAATGGTATGTAATATTATAATGTTTAAAATTCAAATTTAAACATTTCAAGCAAAATTATTTTATAATATGTAATTAATATGCAATAAGTTAATATTAATCATTATTATTATTTGTGAAAACGTGGATTGTTTTTTTTTATTTATTTAAAACTAAAAAATATATTTCCTATTTTTATAAGTACCTATAAGATTATAATCATAATAAATAAACTATATTTAAAKTATTCATTACCTATCTAAATCATCTTTTGTAATTTATGTTATATGTCAGCGATTTCCAACACATTGTCAAGRGTCCACTTGAGGGCCGAGAGAAATGTGGTACTGRGTCAAGTGTGTAAATCCGAATTTGAAGTAATATGAAATATGCACTTGTCTGAAAGTTTTGTACACTAATAATGCATTATTGTACAATAATATTATCTACATTTCTTTTATATAACTATTTAAAATTAATTTAGTTTTCATCGTTCTAAGTCTAAAATATTTTTGTATTAGATTGTACTTTAAAAGTAAATTGAATTTATGGTCAATTTAAAGTCATGCGAAGGCATATTACATTTAAGTGGAACTTTTGACTTTTGAAAGATAAAAACTTCCAGTACTTTTTAAACTAATGATCACTTACTACGAACCCAAGAACATAAAAAATTGGCTTTATTTAATTTATTAAAAATTAAAAACAGTTGGTATCRAATTTCGTTYCTTTTCCCGCAACAATATTGTTTATTTTGCACTATACGATTGATTTTCTATCGGTTTTTCTGTCAATAATTTCAGATAGTTGTCCACAACAATCGAGGAATGATAGAATGTTATTTAGAACTATCAAATAAACTTTAATTTTAAATATAATGATCATTATTAATTATGTTCAATGACGATCATCATACCAAAATATGTAATAAGTGATTACGCGAGTATAATATTTTATGATTATTATACACCAATGTTAAAGCCTTATAGCTGCAGTCATAGGCAACACATTATACACCAAATTTCCCAGAAAATTATTATCATTATTATAGTGGACTATATAGAGTTATTACAGTATATATATATAAATGTGTGTGCAGTAAATATACTATACTGGTCGCTTACAAAAGTTGATAATGATAAAACAATAGGTTGTTATTGATTGTGAAGTCGTTTTGTGTTCGACGTGTGTATATCACTGCATGCGTCGTATTGCTCTATTTTATTGTTATTTGAGTATATGTTTACATGTTGGTTCGTGCGATGTTGATGCGTATATTTTTGTTGTTTTGCGGTATCGTTGTATTTTATATTTTTCCGATGGTGGTGGTCGATTCTTCAAAAACGAAAAACGGACAGCCAGTGGAAAGGTAAAATGTAAAATAATAGAACAATAACAACCGTATAAAACACGATAAAGGAATATTTTGCGATCATACATCATAAAAAACACATACCTACTTAAAGATCACATCTAGCTGGTTTGATCTCGTCGATTAATTTATTTTTTATACATTTTTTTTTCTATATTGTTTAGTAGGTGAGGGTAATTCATGCCGCGGGTTATTAAAATAGGTATAATTTATATAATGTAAATATATATATATCTTGTACATGTGTGTGTTAAAGACAGGGGAAATTGCAGAATCTCCATTTTAAGCGAGTTGCCGATTCCTGCTGCAGTCGAGCCGACAATAAGCAGTCGACTGACAGCAGTAGCAGATATACTTTCGACAAGTCGAAGAAGCGTCATGTAAGCAGCCGATATTAAAGCGCGCAAATAATTAAATATAAAGCTATATAACAAAACTAATTATAAAATAAAAATCGAGTTTGAATTAGAAATATGATGATATATAGAGATATAATTGACAGTAATAATAGGTACGTATGTTAGGAGGTACACCTACCACGTACAATACTGCAATAATGATGATTAGTGTGAGCATAATTAAAATATATTATACTTTATTACTTACTCGCCACACATACATATTAATTATCAATGCATTATATAWAGGTGGTGGTACATACACTTAAACACGACTCGTGACTGCAACTGGGGCTTGACGTTGTCGTGTCCTTCTATACTCGCGTATTATTTCAATAAGTCACGATCCTCTACGGTTCTCATCGAWCGTCTCGTCAGAATATGACGATTACACGGTGTTTTTTTTTCTTTCACGTTCGCGCGTAGGTAGGTACCTATTTAAAAATATATATTCCGTCGCATATGGCAAAATAACAATACAAAATATATTGTGTACACATGTACCTATTATTTATAATATTATATTGTGTGTATACATCACCGTCGCCGTATCGATACACCAAAAGTGTATAGGTAGTCTCGAATTCATATTATACATCATATTATATTATTATGTATTATGCACACACGCCGTGCAGTGTTCATCAGCGCCGTTCGAAATTCGTCGACTGTAGACAGTAGCTGCTGCATAACGATATTGTGTGTACAATGTGTACATACCTATATCTCCTGTGGGTATCGTAATAATATTATTATAATATACCGTGCGTATGTATTATATAGTTTGCCTTATTACGGGCATACACCTGACTAGTTAAAGTTAAGTATAATGTTTGATAGTGTGTGTATAGACACTGTATTGCAGAGGTATTGTGCATGCGCGTACATGTCATTATAAATATTATAATGCGCTCGCGATGATAGTATAATGCGATCGTCTGCTTGCTGGACCCGTAGCAGCCGAGTTGGTCCATATAACAATATTGTTATTATTATTTATTGGTATTGTTGCTATTATGTTAAATATTATAATATCTATACGTGGAAAACTAGAAATTTGTTTGCACAAAGACGTCTCCTATTGTGTGACCACGTATGCGAGCCCGCGTTTATATATATATACAATGTACAGTAAAAATAGCGAACATCATTATAATATTATATTATTATAATTTTATAATACAAATGACGCGTGTAACATTATTGTTGTGCGTCCTCGGAGATGACGATGTCGCCCTGCGAGTTTGTTGAACTTGTATCTCCATACGTATATTTTAACAATTAAATAACAATACTGTCAATAGGACGCTAACCCAAAACTAATAATCGTTGACGTAATAACAGCTATCGTTGACGAAGAGATGCAGAACGCAAATTCGGTCACCGCTGCTGTGACAAACGTATTCTGTGGAACTACGTAAGATTGCGTAGTACCTATGTCATTGTTAGGAAAAAAAGACGAAAAAGTCAAAAAATCGTGTTGGAAAATCAGCAGCAGCGTTAGCCAATGTACAATATTGTATTATAATAATGTTATATGGKATACAAGCTGATTCAGTAAATATTCCAAAACCGTGTCCACTCACTCCCTCCTTAATAGTAGAAAAACCAAACTTTACCAATAATTTTGTAAGCTTAGCAATTGAGATAATTTTACTTGTGTTTTATATATATACACAATACACCTGCTTGTGGATAAGTTACGTCCTCAAAAATTGCTTTGCGTACCTTTTTGAAAAAAACATTTTCAAAACCGTTAAAAATCGTTTTGATATTAATATTTACTTATTAGTTGTTTACAATATATTTTATCATCGTGTTAGTATCGTTAAAAATAATTAGTTTAACATTACGGATACACTTAGTGAATGTTTGTAATAAAGTTGTTTATTTTTGATTGAAATGATAAATCATTTTCTTTATTTAGCTACCCATTTTATAACAATACCTACATTTTATAATTTTCTTTTAACAACAATGTCGAGGCGTTAAGGCGTCTGTAAGCATAACGGTATTTTGCTGTAAAAATGCGACTGACTATGCAGTGTTAACGGATATTGCGCAAAATACAATACGATGTTACGTGGCTTATTGTAGTGCTATTTTCCTATTTCTGCAGGACAAATATTTAAATGTGCTCTTTTTGACTGCACCCAACTAAGGAATTGGCGCCATCCACGCGGGGGATGGCTATTGAACAACGAGCACCTAAAGAATAGAGAATGAATCTCTACTTCGTTAATATACACACTGTATTATAGTACAGTGTGTATTATTGAAATATATTATGAAAAGATTCGAGCGATTTGAGTGGTTAAAATAAAATTTAATGGATTTGTCAGATCTATACGCACTTGGCACCCCATGTTCGGAATTTTTGTACATTTTTCAAAATATTGTAACTGTTATTTAGTAACGAAAAGTATCTAACTTGTACTTTTTTGCTAATATCTCTAATTTCTTAGGTACAATCAATAGTTCAGCATTCCAATTCATTATATGTCTGTTGCTATGCAATGTGATGTTTAGTGTAATACCTACTCTAAAATGGAGTATTACAAAGTGGGACCCATACCCTTCAAAACAATTTTTTTCTAAAAATATTCATGAAA